TAATTCGAACAATTCGAACAATTCGATAAAACGAATAAATAAAACGAATAAAACAATAAATAATTCGAACAATTCGAACAATTCGATAAAACGAATAAATAAAACGAATAAAACAATAAATAATTCGAACAATTCGAACAATTCGATAAAACGAATAAATAAAACGAATAAAACAATAAATAATTCGAACAATTCGAACAATTCGATAAAACGAATAAATAAAACGAATAAAACAATAAATAATTCGAACAATTCGAACAATTCGATAAAACGAATAAATAAAACGAATAAAACAATAAATAATTCGAACAATTCGATAAAACGAATAAATAAAACGAATAATTTGAATAAAACAATAAATAATTAGAACAATTCGATAAAACGAATAAATAAAACGAATAATTTGAATAATAATAATAATAAAACAATAAATAATTCGAATAATTCGATAAAACGAATAAATAAAACGAATAATTCGAATAATTCGATAAAACGAATAAATAATTCGGTTTATCGCGTAAATTCGTTTTAACAAAGCATCGTCTTAACAAGTTTCAACGGTACGATCATGTCCATTTATGAAATGGTCTGTGGGGGCAATTAAACGTGTTGCAGAGTTTTATATCATGTTTGTCTTTTCTTTCGTGATCGAAAAAAGCTTTTTTTTTGTAAAAACGTGTCAATATTTTTTCTACATATAAAAAATGAGCCGTCAAACATTTTTATTTAGCCCTAAATTTAGCAAGAAACCAATCTATGATTCACCAACAAATAAATATCAAGAATTTTCTAATGCTTATGTATATAGTATTATGGTGAAGACAGGAAATGGTACCCCTAACCGTGCTGATGTTTGTCGCGAAGCAACACAAGAATGGAATAGAATTAAAAAAAAAAGCACAACAGAAATTGATGAAATAATCAGAAAATACCTAATCACACAATTTAACTTATATGATATACAAACAATGAGACCAAGATGTCCTATACCTAGAGAAGACTTGACCCCCCTTCCTACTACTATTCGTTTGGTAGAACCTACACCGGAAATTCCTGTTAATGCAGCAGCTCAAAAAAAGGCAGCAAATGGAATAACAATAGCTGAAAAAAAACTTACTGAATTTGAGCAAATTTACAATTTCACAACTGATTCTCAACTTCGTCATGATATGCATGTAAAAATAGCAGATCTTTGAGCCCAAATAAAATCTAATAAAGATAAGATTATCCAATTAAAAAGAAATGCGGAATATACTCAAAAATGCAAAGAAAAAAAACAGAAACTGCTTCTTGAAAGTCAAGAAATAATACTATATGATAAACCTGGTCGTCCACCACTCCTTTTCCAACATCCAGATTTACATGATCATATTCATGATTCAGTTGAGTTTGGATCAGCTGATGAAAAACGGCGAAAAGAAGTGGTTAAGGTGCGGATAATCAAAAATTTGCGTAAGAATCTTGAAGAGAAATATAATGTCTACATGGCAAGAACAACATTGAATAACTACCTGCTGCCTCGTCAATCCAACTCCATTGCTGCAAGAGCACACCATCATCCAGCATGGGTTGCAGTAGCCGGAGTTTCACGTGCTGAAACACGGGACCATCCTAATGGTCACTATTGTCTTGCATCTGTTAAATGTGCAAAGCAATTTGCAACTGTCTTTGCTGATATGTCTGTTGTCATTTCTCAAGATGACAAGGCAAAGATAGGTCTTGGAGTGCCTGCTGTAGGTCGGACATTTCACACATTGCAGTCAGTTCATGAGCCTGTTTGTGTGGCTGATCATGATTTTCCTGTAGGAAGTGGGCAAAAGTTAGTTCCATCAGTTTATCTTATGATCAAACCAAATGAATCAAATGATGAATTACGAACAGGACAACTTGCCATTTTTGTACGTCGTCAATGGTCCCTTGGTACGTCTTCACACACACACATGCAAGATCTTGAAAGCCTCACCTTAGATCCTCAATATGATGATGTGTTGAAGACCAATGGAGAAATTCGACCTATTTGGGTGTTATTAGTAGATGGAGGACCAGATGAGAATCCAAGACATCTAAAAAACATTAAAACATACTGCCAACTTTTTCGAAAATTTGATTTAGATTACCTGACTGTACGAACACATGCTCCAGGACAATCCAAGTATAATCCTGTTGAAAGGGGCATGGCAACACTATCTGGAAAATTGGCAGGTATCACACTACCAATTGATCACTATGGAACACACCTAAATACACAAGGCAAAGTGATCAATCCAGATTTAGCCCTTCAAAACTTTCGATATGCTGGAGAGGCACTTTGTAATATTTGGCACCATGATTTGATTTTGGAAAAAGTGTAGATGCACGGTTATAGTTGGCACCATAATTCTGTAATAATTACAGGATTATAGTCGTGTGACATTAGGGATGGGGACGGTTTATGTCACGTCCGGCGATGAATAATATTTTTATAATTGATCCGTGACGATTAATATACTAAATTACAGGTGACATTTATATTGCCAAAACAAGAC